CTTGCCGGGATATTTTTGGATACTCAGTGACATTTGAAAAGAAAACCAATGAATGGGAGCTGAAGAAAAGCTCTGTGCCCAAACGGGCAGGCAGTGCCCGAGGCTGGAGGCAGCAGGAGAARCTGGGCTGGAGCAGTGCAGGAGCAGCTTCCCGAGGGATTGGCAAGCAGAGGCTGATTTTTGAGGCCCTTCATTATATTGCAAAAGAAAATTAAGAAGTCGGTAGCGTGGCCTGAGAAGATATCACCAATTTTCTGCTWATTTTAATAAGTGGGCAGAATGTAGCAGGGTTTTAGCAGAGTTTGCTGAGGTGGAAAAATCAGGGGAAAGTTGGGAAAAAAGGACCTTTTTTTTTTAAAATTGAATTGATTTTTTGAATGAAGTAGGATCACAGTTGTATGGTAAAGCACAGTGAGCCTGACATCACACCCAGTTCAGGGAAATCTGTAATTCCAAGGCACTGCCTCGCTGTGATGGACTCAGAGAGTGCTCTGAGTCCACTTCCACAGAGCCTGACATGTGAAAACAGCAAATAAAAAACAAGTTCAGGAAAACAACCRCGAGTTATTACTGGCACCAAGTCCTTGAACAGAGCTTGGAGCRCAATCAGAGACGTCAGCCCCTGTCACTGTCCATCTCTGCAAACAGCTACAGCTTAATTTCATTTACTCCTCAAATGGCAGGTCTAGTCATTTTTCAGGWTCAGTTCCTGTTTTTACCAACTGATTCGTCTGGRTTCTTGTCACGGGTGGTTAACTCTCGTTGCTCTTAAATCCTTCACCTGCCAGAACAGCTAAAACTCACCCAAAGCTGCTTTTGCTGCCGTCCCAGCACGGCCCCATCGCAGCCACGGCGTTTTCTTTGTTCTTTTTCTCTCTTCTAGGTGGTCGCTTACCACTACTGCCAGGCTGACAACGCCTACACGTGCCTGGTGCCCGAGTTTGTGCACAAYGTGGCCGCGCTGCTGTGCCGCTCGCCGCAGTTCGTGTCCTACCGGGAGCAGCTGCTGCGTGAGCCGCACCTGCAGAGCCTGCTCAGCCTGCGCTCCTGTGTGCAGGACCCCATGGCCTCCTTCCGCAGGGGCGTGCTGGAGCCGCTGGAGAACCTGCACAAAGGTACTGATGGACCCTTCCAGCTCCAGGGAGGTGGTTTTGGTTAAAGTTTTCAAAATGGATATGGGTATTTGAGCCAATGTGTGCGCTTCGATTCTTGAGGTGAAGGGTGGGATCTGGAGGAGCTGGGAGGAGCCGCTGGAGAACCTGCACAAAGGTACTGATGGGATCCCTCCAGCTCCAGGGAGGTGGTTTTGGTTAAAGTTTTTAAAATGACGCTGAAGTGGATATGGGTGTTTGAGCAGAGTTGATGTGTGCGCTTCAATTCTCGAGGTGAAGGGTGGGATCTGGAGGAGCTGGGAGGAGCCGCTGGAAAACCTGAACAAAGGTACAGATGGGATCCCTCCAGTTCCAGGGAGATGGTTTTGGTTGAAATTTAAAAAATGACACTGAAGTGGATGTGGGTGTTTGAGCGGAGTTGATGTGTGCGCTTCGATTCTCGAGGTGAAGGGTGGGATCTGGAGAAACTGGGAGGAGCCACTGGAGAACCTGCACAAAGGTATTGACAGACCCCTCGAGCTCCTGGGAGCTTTGTTTGGTTAAAATTTAAAAAATGATGCTGAAGTGGATATGGGTGTTTGAGCGGAGTGATGAGTTGATGCGTGCACTTCGATTCTCGAGGTGAAGGGTGGGATCTGGAGAAGCTGGGAGGAGCTGCTGGAGAACCTGCACAAAGGTACTGATGGGATCCCTCCAGCTCCAGGGAGCTGTGTTTGGTTAAAATTTTAAAAATTACGATGAAGTGGATATGGGTGTTTGAGCCAATGCGTGCGCTTCGATTCTCGAGGTGAAGGGTGGGATCTGGAGAAGCTGGGAGGAGCTGCTGGAGAACCTGCACAAAGGTACTGATGGCATCCCTCCAGCTCCAGGGAGGTGGTTTTGGTTAAAATTTAAAAAATTACGCTGAAGTGGATATGGGCGTTTGAGCGGAGTGGTGAGTTGGTGTGTGCGCTTCGATTCTCGAAGTGAAGGGTGGGATCTGGAGAAGCTGGGAGGAGCCGCTGGAGAACCTGCACAAAGGTACTGATGGGATCCCTCCAGCTCCAGGGAGCTTTGTTTGGTTAAAATTTAAAAAATTACGCTGAAGTGGATATGGGCGTCTGAGCAAGAGTGATGGATTGATGTGTTGATGCGTGCGATTCTCGAGGTGAAGGGTGGGATCTGGAGGAGCTGGGACGAGCCACTGGAGAACCTGCACAAAGGTACTGACAGACCCCTCCAGCTCCAGGGAGCTTTGTTTGGTTAAAGTTTTCAAAATGATGCTGAAGTGGATATGGTTGTTTGAGCGGAGTGATGAGTTGATGCGTGCGCTTTGATTCTCGAGGTGAAGGGTGGGATCTGGAGAAGCTGGGAGGAGTCGCTGGAGAACCTACACAAAGATACTGATGGGATCCCTCCAGCTCCAGGGAGATGTGTTTGGTTAAAATTTAAAAAATTACGCTGAAGTGGATATGGGTGTTTGAGCCAATACGTGCGCGTCGGTTCTTGAGGTGAAGGGTGGGATCTGGAGAAGCTGGGAGGAGCCGCTGGAGAACCTGCACAAAGGTACTGATGGGATCCCTCCAGCTCAAGGGAGCTTTGTTTGGTTAAAATTTAAAAAATTACGATGAAGTGGATATGGGCGTTTGAGCAGAGTGCGATTTGATTCTCGAGGTGAAGGGTGGGATCTGAAGAAGCTGGGAGGAGCCGCTGGAGAACCTGCACAAAGGTACTGATGGCACCCCTCCAGCTCCAGGGAGATGGTTTTAGTTAAAGTTTTCAAAACGATGCTGAAGTGGATATGGGTGTTTGAGCGGAGTTGATGTGTGCGCGTCGATTCTCGAGGTGAAGGGTGGGATCTGGAGAAGCTGGGAGGAGCCTCTGGAGAACCTGCACAAAGGTACTGATGGCACCCCTCCAGCTCCAGGGAGCTGTGTTTGGTTAAAATTTAAAAAATTACGCTGAAGTGGATATGGGTGTTTGAGCGGAGTGATGAGTTGGTGTATGTGCTTTGATTCTCGAGGTGAAGGGTGGGATCTGGAGAAGCTGGGAGGAGTCGCTGGAGAACCTGCACAAAGGTACTGACAGATCCCTCCAGCTCCAGGGAGCTGTGTTTGGTTAAAGTTTTCAAAATGATGCTGAAGTGGATATGGGTGTTTGAGCCAATGCGTGCGCTTCGATTCTCGAGGTGAAGGGTGGGATCTGGAGAAGCTGGGAGGAGTCGTTGGATTTGTCTTGGAAGGAATCCTAAAGCTCATCCCATTCCACCCCCTGCTACAGGCAGGGACATCTTCCACTGTCCCCAGTTGCTCCAAGCCATGCCCAACCTGGCCTTGAACATTCCCAAGGATGGGGCAGCCACAGCTTCTCTGGCCTCCCCACCCTCACAGGGAGGAATTTCTTCCGAATATCCCACTTGGCTTTCCCTTTCCTTGCTTTTTCATATCCCAAACCTGTCCTCACAGTTCTCAGGGTGAAAACAAGCAACCAGTTCCATTCACAGCGCTGCTCACAGCAACATGTTCTGGTTTTTTTTGTGCAGGGTTGGGTTTTTTTTCCCTTTCCCTGCCACTGTGTATGGKCTTTGGAGAATCTGAAGCTTTCACCAAAGGACTGGTATCATAAAAATCCATAGACACCCCTGGGGGGTAGCTGGTGACAAGCCTTATCCTGATTACAGACTCAGAGCTTTTTCTAATGCAGCATTGATTTTGTCTTCTTTCCTTTCTTCCCTCTGCAAGTTATAACTAATTCATTGTGACAATCGCTAAATTTAAGATCTTCCCTCGTTGCCATGAAAACTGTCAGAGCATTTCAGAGTTCAAGCCTGTTGTCCTGCAGAACCCTGTTTATCTCTGTGCCTGTGCTGCATCTTGGCTTGCAAAAAAAAGAATTCAGATGATTTTGTTGCCACCCTGCAGCGTAAGATCCAACATGAAATAGATGCAGCTCCTACCAGATTCAAAGCTTGATKTTCAGATCAGCTTTTCAAAAACTCTGTCCAAGCTCCAGGCAGCAGCAGCTGGGTCCAACCTGCCCRGTTCCACCAGGCACAAAGCATTTGTGGAACCAGCACAGCGTGACAGCAGTTGGTTTTCCTGGCATGGTGAAATGTCACTGTGGGAGGAGCGTGGTTGCTCTTTCCTATCAACACTCCTGGCAAAAAGAAAAAGAAAAAAAGGATGCATTTAGGAGCTGCTGCTCTAAAGGAAAATAATTCTTGGTTATTGCAGCAGCTGCTTGGGAGATGTTTCAGCTCTTGAATTCAGAGCGTTTCGGAGGATTCTTGTTTTTCTTGTTAAGGGAGTTGACCCCCCCATTTGGCCCTAAATTTTGAGAGGTGGAAAATTCTGATAACATTTTGGTCCTAAATTCTGAGAGGTGGAAAATTTTGATATGAAACCTTTTTTTATTTCCTTTCCTCTTGAGCTCTGCAATCAGCACAGCTCCAACAGAGCCACTGACCACAGCTCCCACCTTTCAACCCTGCTSGTCAAGAGTGCTGGCAAAGCTAATTGTGAACACCAAATGTTCTCTAACAAAATGAAAATTGGAAATTGATATCTGGAAATTGGCTCTGAAATATATCCTATTTAAGGCTCTGTAAATAAACCAGCAGGTTTTTCACAAGGTGCTGTTGAAGCTTTAAGGCTGCTGGAACAAAACGACTGTGCAGCTGTTAATGGTGAACATCACTGAGAAAGATTCATGTTTCTCAAATATATATATATATGTTTTTAATGTGAAGGAATCTAAATAATGTATAGGAGAACAGAGCTTTGATTCTTCCCCGATTCCCTGCTTTCTCCTCTCTCCCTTAGGCTTTATGAGGAGCATGAGATATAAGTATAAAACTCAGGCATGTTAAGATTTCACAGATCAATGAAGTATATTTTCTARTCTACCCAAAAATCCTCCTGAGAAGTTCACTGAAAAAGCACCTAGGGTAATAATTTTGATGCAAAATGCATGTTTTTCGTGTGTGGGTTTATAATACATTAGGAAATAAATGCAACCTGTTGACATCAGGAAAGGACAAGACAATCCCTGGAATAACAGGGATCACAGACTCTCATCATCAATGAACATTCTGTGCTTGGGTTTTACAGAAAAATTTCCTGATTTAGTTTAAATTTCCAGTTTAAAATCAAAGTCAAAGCGAAAAATTCACCTGCTGCTGGGAATATTGAGCTTTTTGATAGCAGGATTTATCTGCAGCACTTCACAGATCAGAACTTGGAGTAGATGTGAATAGTTTTTGACAAAGGTAGACTCAGATTTCCTTTTTCCATCTGGTTTTGAGTCTATTAGGCAGGATTACCTTTGAGAAGATACCACTTGAGCTTGAGATAAAAGCCCAAAAGTATCTTTATCATGGTTGTGAAGCCATTCTCAGCTCCCAGTGTCTGACATAGGAACCAGTGCATTGCCAGTATCACCTGGGTTATCGTGTTCTCCAGCAGCAAAAATCCTGTTTAAACATGAATAAACATAAATCCATTATTTATTTCTTCTAGGATTTTCAAGGCCAGCTTGGAATAACCTTATCTAGTGGGAGATGTCCCTGTCCCTGGCTGGAGGGTGGAATGAGATGACCTGCAAAGGTCAATATGCAATTAATGCATATTAAAAAGGCAGAGYTACTGTGTTTTTTTCCTTCTTTGGCATTGTCTGATAATGCTTTAAAACTCTGTGGTGACTTTGCAGTACATTATGTCTGTAGCCTTTGCAATAAATGCTTTTTTTTTTCTTTCTCTCAGAGAGGAAGATCCCTGATGAAGATTTCATTATATTAATTGATGGTTTAAACGAGGCTGAATTTCACAAGCCAGATTATGGAGACACCATAGTATCATTCCTGAGCAAAATGATTGGAAAATTCCCTTCCTGGCTGAAGTTGGTAGTGACAGTCAGGACAAGCCTCCAGGTATGTTGAAACTCAAACTAGGCCTAAGCTGTGTCATTGTCATGATGGACTTCAATAAGGAAGTTTTGGATGTTTTGGATTTGCTCAGGACCCTTTATTTCAGGTTATCCTTTTGGCTTTTTTGTGCTCGGATTTACATCCACGTCCCCAGGCTCACTCTGCAGCTTTGGAAGGATCTAATCCATCATCATGGTTTATTCATGTCAATAAATATTCATCAGCAAATAGTTCAGATGGTTCTGTGAGACAGCTCACATGCCAGCGGAGCCATCAGGAGGGCAGGGCCTGGTTTCTGTCAGCCTGTGCAGCTCAAGAACATCCTCAGCTCCACGTGGAAGGGCAGGAATTTGGATTTTCATTCCTTTCTGTGACCCAGAAAACGATGGTTTCAGTCTGGACAAATCCAGAGCTCAAAAAGATTGTCTTGAGCAGGTGCAAGAGCTCAGCAGGGAGTTGAGGCACAGAGCCCCACGTATCCCTGTCACTGGGAACAGCAGCTGCTTCCCAAAATCCASGAGAGCACAGGCTGTTTGCTGTTCAGTGCTGGGGTCCATTTTTTGCTCAGTACAGAGTAGATTAAATATCATTTGGAAGGAATCTTTTTGTAATTGTCAGTGAATTGCATCCCAGTGGTTGAATTCCTCATTTAATTAAGGGCTTTTGCATCCCCGTGGTCTCCACGGCAGCTCGAGTTTGCACTGTGCTCTCCCTCTCCGTTTTTTTGGAAAGCTTGTGGTTTCTACAGACCTGTTGCATCATTTCTCCTCTCCTCACAGCTGCCATGAGGCCAGAATTCCTTTGGAAATTTGGAATTTCTTTTGGAAAGGCATTTGATGATCTCTGGTTTATGCTGGATCGGGGAGTTCAGTAGATGAGCGTTCCCTGGGCGCAGTGATTGCTTTGCACTGGAAAATGTTCACTGTTGCCTGTGCTGAGGTTTCTGTGCATCTGTGGGTTTGGGATGCAGAAGAACACTCACAGGGAGCTCCTTGGTCTCAGCTTCAGCACGTTTCCTGTGGCTCAGATCTGTCAGGACTCAGAAGGGATGGGATGTCAGYCCGTGCTCAGGAGGGATAGGAATAACAAGGACACTGCCCTGTGTGAATTTACCAGCCCTTTCCGTGGATGTCAGAAACAGGCTCCTGTGTTTTTATTTCGGTCACGTTTCACACATAACCTGCTTGGTTATGGATGAGAGTGTGAGGCCCTGAGGGCACAAACTGCTGTTTGTGTGCTTGCCCTGATGGAAGGTCTTAAAGGAGTCTCAAAGGTGCCGTTGTAATAGAAATTAAGTTTACTTAATGAATAATGAACACTGCCGGCATGAGTATCTTTTTTCTTTCTTTCTTTGCAGGAAATAATTAAGCTGTTGCCCTTCCACAGAATATTTTTGGATAGACTGGAAGAGAACGAAGCCATCGACCAGGACCTGCAGGCATACATCCTTCATCGGATCCACAGCAGCTCGGAGATCCAGAACAACATCTCKCTCAACGGCAAAATGGACAACACCACGTTCGGCAAACTCAGCTCTCACCTCAAGACCTTGAGCCAAGGCTCCTACCTGTACCTAAAACTCACTTTTGATCTGATAGAGAAAGGATACCTGGTTCTAAAAAGCTCCAGCTACAAAGTGGTGCCAGTGTCCCTGTCTGAAGTGTACCTGTTGCAGTGCAATATGAAGTTCCCAACGCAGTCTTCCTTTGATCGGGTCATGCCTCTTTTGAACGTGGCAGTGGCTTCTCTGCACCCTTTAACAGATGAACATATTTTTCAGGCCATTAATGCAGGTAACATTGAGGGCACTTTGGAGTGGGAGGACTTTCAGCAGAGGATGGAGAACCTTTCTATGTTTCTTATCAAACGTAGAGACATGACGCGAATGTTTGTTCATCCCTCTTTCCGAGAATGGCTTATTTGGAGAGAAGAAGGTGAAAAGACCAAGTTTCTTTGTGATCCAAGGTAAGCAAATGCTCTGAGAAATTAAGAGTTTACCAGTGTATTATAGTTACCTGGATAATTTCATTTTGCCAGGCTGTACGTGGCTGCGGTTATCCAGCTTTGCTTTGTGCACACTTTGGTCTCTGCATTTTGTACTGATCACCTCAAGTGTTTATGTTGTTCATGGGAAGAAACAATCACCCTTGGGCACACACCTGACCTGGCAAACATAAATCATCTTTAGAATGAGTGGAGCTGCTTGTCAGAGTGCCCCAGACTGTCTAGCTCAGACATCACCAGGGGCAAATTACTCCTCTCAGTTCAGTCCTGGAGAAGGGAAATCATCCTCCCTTCTCCAAAGGTGTGAAGGGAAATCGTCCTTCCATTCTCCAGAGGTGCCAAAAGCACAGGAAGTGAAAGTTCAGAAGTGGAAAGATGAGTAGTGTGGATACATCATTTGCMATTGCTTCTTTTTCCAGTTGTGCTCGTCGTAGGTCTACTAAATGTTTTTTTTTTGAAAACAAAAATAGAGTGGAATCATTCTGTAATGATTTTGGACTGTAAATGCACCTGTAATCTGTATCCTGACAGCAGCTGAGTTCCTGGCTTAGCTCACAGGGAGCAGAATTTAATCATGGTTACATTTATATTCTCTAAACCCAATGATCTCTATTAAGAACATCACCATTGTTTCTAGTGACAAGTGGAAGCAGACAATCTGACTGTAATTCTCATAATTTACCCCATAAATTTTGCTCCATTTTGTCTGCCCATTTCTTAAAATATGATCATAATAATCAGGGAAAAGCTCAGATCCAAGGATTTGTCAGTCTGAAGACAATACAGTGATATCTGCTGGAGCTGGAGAGCTGCTCAGGTGGCTGTTAGTGGTTAKTCAGAGAAATTTATCACTTCAAATTTTGAGGCTGCAGTAGAAAAATACAAAACAGCCACTCCCAGTGGGCATATTCTTGTTTTCAGTAGGTCCTGACAATATTCCTGTTAAACGGGCCCATGGTGAAGCATCTCACAGCAGCAGGTGCCTTTAGATMAGTCAAGGGTTATTTCATATCCTTTCTTGGAATAAGTGTTTGTCACCAGGCAGTGCTGTTCTGCCCTGTGTGCAGGGTCTGTGCAGGGAGCTGAGACCTTCCTCCATCCCAGTCACTCCCAGTCCCACTCACTGGTTTTGTCTGGCCTGGCTGGGAGGGAGCTTKCTGTTGGCTGGGTGAGGGGACAGCAGCCTGGCAGTTATCACTGATCACACAGCACCTGCCAGAAAAGAGCAGCTCAGAAAAATCCCTGTTTCCCAAACCTCTGCTTTCCAAACCCCTGTTTTCCAAACCCCTGTTTCCCAAACCCCTGGTTTCCAAACCCCTATTTTCCAAACCCCTGGTTTCCAAACCCCTATTTTCCAATGCCCTGTTTTTCAAACCCCTGCTTTCCAAATCCATTTTCCAAACCCTTGCTTTCCAAATCAACACATTCCMTYGTTACCATGAAAACAGAATCGAGGTGCAGGGTGCTTCTCTGGTGTGTTGGGTGCTGTGCCTGTGCCTGGGTAACCTGGTGGCTGTGGTTCTGTGGGTGCAGAGGTTCTTTTCATCCTCACAGCAGTGGAAAAGGGCTCTCTCAGAATACCAGATTCAGAAGGAAATTCAAATTACGCTGTATTTTAGATGGTTTTGCACTGAAACAAAACGTGTAATCAAAAGGCACAAATCAGCCCGTGTTTACTCAACAAGTCACTGGTTTTTTGCTCAACATTTGGGTTTGGTGCTGCCCTCAAGACCGTATAGGAGATATTCAGGTATCGCTTTTCATCTCATTTGTGTGCCATTAATGTGAGGAAATTAATGRTGACTTTATGGGCACCACTGGTGCTCTGTGCAAGGGTGTCCCCATGGAGGTGACRTGACTCAGCACCTTCCCATGGGCTGAAAGAAGGAAGTTCCAGTGCACCAACGGGCTCTCAGAAGCTATTTTCCTCAGGCTGGAAGAAGTTCCAGTGCATCAAGAGGCTCTCTGTGACTCCTTCCCATGAGCTGAACGAACTTCAGTGCTTCAAGGCTCTCCCTTGCCATGGCCACGAGCCCAGACACACTGTAGGACTAATACACATCTCTGATGTATAATGTGCATTAATTGCATTATGCTCTTGTGATAACTAATGGAACCAGATATAATCTAGTGATTAATAGAGAAGGACCCCTGAGATTCAGCTACCACGCTTCTCAAAATCTTCCTGTCCAGCTGATACTGAGCTCAGAGCATGGGAAATCATGAGCGATGATTAAGATAAGTGGCAGTTTYTCATGTTACTCCTTGGAAGAGAAGCAGAACTGGCCACTGACAGAGCTCACAGCAGTARCCTGTGAAAATTTGCCTGCATCTGGTTTGTTCAGAGCCAGCTGGATTTCTTTCTGTTCACTTGRGAATTGAGAGGACGTGACAACTGTGCAGAGCACGCCTGGGGATCGCTGTGCACGGAGCTGTTTGACCACACCGCGTCSATACACGGAGAGTCAGCTTGCTGAGGCTGAGATTTCTCCCCACGAGAAGAGCTCTGAAGTGAAATGTGGATTTGTGAAGCTGCTTTTAATTGACTGACCCTGACAGAGCATCCAGGTGTGAGGCTGTTACGAGGGGAATTGGCATAATGGGCCTCGTGTCCASCGCGCTGCATCTGCGATAATCTTCCTGATTTCATCAAGTTCACGTGTTCTCAGAAGCGTGCAAAAGAGGGGAGGGGAGAGGAGGAGCACAACGTCCAGGAATTATCMCATTTTTCTATACTTTGAAGATAAACAGCAGGAGCACAACATCCAGGAATTACCACATTWTTCTWYACTTTGAAGATAAACAGCAGGAGCGCAACGTCCAGGAATTATCACATTTTTCTACACTTTGAAGATAAACAGCAGATCTCCATCCGCTCAACCCGTTGAGATGCTGACCCTCCTCTTTGAGCCCTCATCGTGACTTTGCTGTCCAAAGCAAAGGCTAATTGGCTCTGAAGGGGAACATTCTCACTGCTGGTCTCCCCRAAGAGGAACCCTTCCATTTTTTAACACAGAGGCGTTTGTCAGAGCACTTAACCAGCATTGCAGTAACGACCTCCCCCCCTGTCAGGCCAGCACGTCAACCACGCGGCTTCCTTGACAAATAACATAAAACATTTTAGGGAAAAACCCAATCCTTTGTGACTGCTGCTCGGAGAAAATGGTTCTTATTGCACGTTCCTCTAGTTGCTTGTGTTTCTAAACCTAAATTCTGCTTTAATGCAGTGCTGCTTTCTGCCCAGACTTAATCAGAAATTTCCATGTAATTATTTTCCATGCTTTTACAACCCTAATAAAACATTTTATCCTTGTGCTGCCGCTGAAGGAACCCTGAGAGACAGAGATGAAGTGGTTTKCAGTAAGAGAGGCAAGGCAGTAAGAGAGCTGTAGTCAGATATGGACCCCAGAAGTGAAATTACTTTATCCGGATTTAAGTACAAACATCTGAGTTGCTTGTCTAGACTGGCTTTATAGTCAGAGGAGAGAAATCAGGGTGATTCATTTCATCCTGAGCTAAAAGGCTGCAGAAGGTCAGATGAGRAGTGCCTGGGAAGCATCTCCAGCTGAGTTATGAGAGATCTCAGGATCATGGGCTCCCCAGGAGATGTCTCCAGAATTGACAAATAAGGCTGGATCAGGTGAATCTCTCCAGGCTGCTCCTCTGCCCCACACACAGGGCTTTGAGGCAGATTGATAGATTTTCTTTTCTTGGACAGAAAAGCTAAAGGGGGAAAAAAAATAAAATATAAATATACTCTCAGTGCTGTTGCCTGTATGACTGTCCCAGTTTGGGTTTTTGTTCTCAGGGTGGCACTGRACCAACCAAGGTCCATGTCCATGTCCCAGCATCCATGGGACCACAGCAAAAGGAAGCATTTTCGATCTTCACCTCCTCAAATGCTTCACCTCTGGCTCTGTGTGGCCAAACCTCAGCTGGTTTTAGGATCCTGCCCATCTGTGTGTTGCTCAGGTGGTCACTCCCATGTCCTTGAGTCCTCGGGGCAGCTCATCTGGCCTGGAGTGGCTCCAGAGTCACCTGGGCATGGATATGCCACTGCAGAGAGGTGACCTGCAGCTTGGAGGAGATGGGAAGTGCCAGACGTGGCACCTTTGGAGTAGGTTTGTTCCTGCTTGCTGTTCCAAGGGCAGTGGGTTTTGAAGAATAAGCATTGCATGAACCCCAGCAAGGCCATTTCCTCACCTCTTCCACATCCACAAACCAAATCCATTCCTCACACCCCAAATCCATTCCTCAGACCCCAAGTCTGTTCCTCAGACCCCAAATCACTTCCTCAGACCCCAWATCCATTCCTCAGACCCCAAATCCATTCCTCAGACTCCAAATCCATTCCTCAGACCCCAAAACAGTTCCTCAGACCCCAAATCCATTCCTCAGACTCCAAATCCATTCCTCAGACCCCAAAACAGTTCCTCAGACCCCAAATCCATTCCTCAGACYCCAAATCCATTCCTCAGACCCCAAAACAGTTCCTCAGACCCCAAATCCATTCCTCAGACCCCAAATCCTTTCCTCAGACCCCACATCTGTTCCTCAGACCCCAAATTCCTTCCTCAGACCCCAAATCCATCCCTCAGACCCCAAATCAAGACACCCTGCGTGGATAAACGTTCAGCAGCAATCCAGGGGGAAGGATGCAGCTCTCACCAACCCCYGAGTTGCCATGGTTTCTGCCTGAGCTGTCTTTTAGTACAATGCTCTGTAGGTATTCTGCATTTCCCTTTTTCTCTTGGGATCACACTGCAAGCGGAGACTTTTCCTACACATAATTAATGTTTTTGTGTATTACCCAGCTAAATGATGGAGCGAAGGCATTAGAGCAAAATCAGGGGGTTTTGCATTATTTTGATGGAAWCTGATTGACAAATAACAGTCCTCCATTGAAAGATAATTAATTTGGAAAGTTTGGGGGAAAAAGGAGTTGGTGAAAATGATATTTC